CAATGTTCAATATTACTGTAGTAATACTGTTTATACTCATGCCTTTTATATTTGTTTGAATTTGGTGCATATTTCCATTGAATAAAGTATAGTCACCATTACCATTATTATACTTACTCTATAATAAAGACAGTAACGAGTTAAATAAATGTAGTTTTCATTTTATTCACTTCCTAAAAGCTTGCTTTAATGGAACAGATTCCTGTTTTTTCTAATTTACATAATAAGACATCACTTTTACCGGAAAAAAAAATTAAACAATTATAAAGTTTTTTCTCTTTCTGTTCTATTATATCTATAGAATAGATCCTGTTTTGATTAATATTAGAGTTGTAAATGTTTGACTAAAATTAATATTTTATTAAATTAATAATTTATCATCAATTTCAAAAATTAAATAATTTCGATTATTAAAATTTCTTCTATAACACGTACTTTATTATTTTTATCGTTTTTAGACTCTAAGACGTATTTTTTTTTTTCTAACTCCTAAACTTTGCTTTATATTAAACTATTTTCTTTATCCTAAATCTTAATAATATAAAAAGTTTAAATACGATATATTTTTAATTGAATTATAGCTTCATTAAAATTAAAAAATACCCGCCTATGATACGGAGAGTACAGGTGCACTGAAGAAACAAAAGACAGTGTTGCGTTGGGCGGCAGAGCCGTCAGGAAACGACCGTTACGACGGAGACAGCCTATCTATCGCTCGTGTCGCACTCGTTAGAGCCAAAAACAATAACACAACAATAACAAGACGTTGTCTGTCCGCATCTTCCAGCTATTTATGAATGAGATGCTCAGTCTATATTTTATTCTAAGTCTATGGAGTCAACCCTGTTCAAATCAAGACGTCTAGAAAACCCTGAATATACAGAATTATTAATTCTTGAAAATTCTTAGATCTATGGTAAAAATACAGTTTTATTTGCTTTGAGAAATGAAAATAAAAACTTTTAAACATCAAATCCGAAAAATCATAATACACCATTAAAAACTGGACTTCACGTCGCTCATCAATAAATACAAACAGAGGATTAAGACAAGTAAAATTTGGTTCCTTTAATACGATTAAAAATTTGGACCTCCTGTACCAGTAGTAAATATTAGAGGGAGACTTTCAAATGAGGAGTATCTCTGTAATATTTACTACTAGTCTAAACTTTTATTTCAAATAACAAAAAAGGATACTTTCTAATATTTAATAATGTTAAATTTAGATGTCCGATAAACTCGTATATAATTTTATCGGACGAGTTTATATGTAAATAATGCTGATTCGGGAGAAGACGATCTTCTGCAGCTATTCTTGGCATTGCCTTGATTTGCCGGATATATAACTAATGGAAACGTGGTTTTATGAACCGCGTTAGTATCGTCTAAAGATGATTTTTTCATATAGATAACATATAAGAAAAAACGGTATATGTTCATACGGAACTGTGCAGAATCAGCCAATCACAAAGTGTCTGACTTATGGTAACTACCCGGGCGCATATTTGTATGTTGCACACAGATTGTCCATTCGGAATTAGTCGGGTCTGCTGCGATTCGGTGGTATGTAAGTAATACTCAGGAGAGCACTTTCTTGGATAAAGCGAGTGCAACAGACAGAGAAGTGTTGGCGTTATTATAAATAATTGTTTTGTGAATTGGCGACTTATATGGGTATTGTCTATATTATATTTTCCAACCCTTTTAATGATATAGCATGGGAGCAAAATTAAATTATATATGTGAGAGTACTTGTATATGTGTATCTTGAATTTTGACTGAATTACTGTTGACTAAATTTTAATTTTTATTTGCCTGTGAGGTAAAAATGACGTATATGTGAATGTACTGTATAAACTGAATGTAAACATGAGAACTTAAGAAAATATACAGGAAAGTTATTCCTTCGAGATAAATAATGGTGTTTGTACTACAGGAAAACGCAGATTCTGAGGGGAACGGACACCAACAATTTTTCTCAGGTAATTTTCCGACTTTTAAAAGACATCCCCATGGAACGCACGAAAGCCTTTAATTTAACTCAGTTATGCGGTGTTATTATAAATGACTTTGAAGAATACTTCAGTCAAAGAATACTTGATTTAATTTTTAACGTCTCAAAAGAAGTAATATACAGGGTGGTCCGATCTGTATTCCGGAAACTTCGGCAGCATATTCTGCATATTAAAATAAGTAAAAAAGTTCGTATAAATGTATGTCTTAAAATGCTTAGTTTCGGAGATACAGGGTGTAGAAGTTTCATTTTTATTTCGATTTTTTTCAAATAATTCATGAAGTAACATCAATATTTGGATGAAAATTGGCGTCTGGGAGTTTTTTGGCATGAGAAATTTGATGTCAATATGACTCCTACTTGTAGAGGGCGCCACCTACATATGTCTTAACTGGTTTGAAGAGTAATAACTTTTCGTCCATACCTGTATAAAACTATTGAGTAAAAAAATATACATTTACAACTGTTTCTACATAAAAAAGGTCTCTTGATAAAAATCCCTACGAGTAATGGTTCTCGACATATTTGGACTTGAAATTATCAATACCTGTCATCATTGACATAAATTAAACTTGTTGACTAAATAGTTATTAGACTGAAATCATAAATTTGATTTTTTTTGTACCAAAAGTTCAACAGAAGCTGTTTAATCATCATGTTTTCGCAGAAAAATGTATGATTAATTAAAAAAAAATAAAAATTTATTATTTCAGTCAAATAACTATACTCATCGTGTGCTTATTTTTTGTCAATAATGACATGTATTGACTATTTCCATTCTAAATATCTTGAGAACGGTTGCTCATAGCGATTTTTACCAAGAGACATTTTTTACGTAACAAGTCATGGAAATGTATATTTTTTTAGTCAGTAGTTTTAACAGGTACGGACGAAAAGTTATTACTCTTCAAAACAATCAAAACGCATCGCATGTAGGAGGCGCCCCCTACAAATAGGAGTCATTTTGACATCAAAATCAAATTTCTCGCACCACAAAACTCCCAGACACTAATTTTCATCCAAATATTGACGTTACTTCAGAAATTATTTAGAAAAGATCGAAATAAAAATGAAACTTCTACACCCTGTATCTCCGAAACTAAGCATTTTAGGACATACATTTATACGATCTTTTTTACTTATTTTTATCTGTAGAATATGCTGCCGAAGTTTCCGGAATACAGTTCGGACCACCCTGTATAGATATCTGATTGATACAAATGATGCTTGTGTCATCGGATTTAACTAAAGTAGTGTCATCGGATTTAACTACCATGGAGTTCCGGGTTAAAATTGCAAAAAATTATGATAGTATTTATTAGGTAGATATGACTGTGTGTAAACGTTCTTGTCCAGTTGGATTTAATGGTAAGTTTTGTGACCATGAGGCATCTGCCATAAAAAAATTCAATATCTTAAATATTTGCAATACAATGACTGCTGAAAACAAATTCAAATTTTATTACATTGCTGTTACTGGAAAACAACCAAATTCTGAATTAATTCTTCCTCTACAATATAACAGCAAAGCATTAATACCTACCACTATTGAAGCTACCGCACTTAGTTCAGTAGACCGAACTAGTGTTATCGACAATGTTAGAACTGGTGAAAATCTTAGAAAAACTAAATGTAAGTAGGTATGACACGTTAGACACTGAGAATATCATAAATTATCAAGCGTGTTTCATAAAAGAATATAGTTATTTACTTAACTATCTCGTGTTAGGTACAACATTTTTCCTATAAGCTCCAAAAATTAAACTGGCATATACATACATATGTTACAATGTTTCTGTATGTTGCACTCTCTTTATCCAAGAAAGTGCTCTCCCGACTATAACTTACATACCGCCGAATCGCAGCATACCCGACTAATTCCGAATGGATAATCTGTGTGCAACATACAAATATGCTACCCGGGCGGACATTGGCTCTCCGACTACTGACTACTGACAAAACAGCGCTTTTATCATATAAAAAAAAATGGTCAAGTGCGAGTCGGACCCGCGCACGAAGGGTTCGTAACATTCATTATCGATACAACATTAGACACTATATTATTATAAACTTTTTTTCCGATTTAGCTGAAATTTTGAATGCGCGTATAAGTAATTTAAAAAAAATGAAGAAACACATTACTAAAAATTGTATTAATCAATAATAAATATGTAAAAAGTAAAAATAAATATGTAAACATATGTAAAAATTAAAAAAAAACGATTAAAAAAAAGTCTTGACTAGGATTCGAACCAGCCTTACTACGGCTCCAACGTCATAGCCACAAATTACCTTCAAAGCAGCGTAAAGTCCTACCGCTTTAACCACGCGGCCACCGAGGACTTGAAAGATTCTATGTAAAATTCTTACTTAAAAGATAATGTTTAGTGAAAGTACTTTTTTATTTATAAACATTTATTTAATTCTGTTTTTAGTATTTGTTCTTATAGCGGCAACATAGATACATTATCTGTAAAAATTTCAACTGTCTACCTATAACGGTTCATAAGATAGACAGCGAGGTCTTAGTAATAGGGTTCCCGTTTTTACCCTTTGGGTACGGAACCCTAAAAAATAAAACCATTGGTAGGTTTATGAAAAAAACTGTTATATTTAATGTGAAGCCCAATAACCACACTATCTATTACATAAAACGTCATTTAAATGTAACCAATAAAGAAAATTTAATCAACAATTTAAAATCAGCTTTTTCTAAACTCTGTCTGTCCGACCACTGACATATTCACCCTACTCAAGAAGCCTCCAAAATAAGTAAAAAATATGAGATTGCTATTGTTCGCATTACTTTACAATACCATATCTAGTTTAACAGGTTTTTGTGGTCAAAGTTGCGGTTATTTTGGCGGTGGTAGCTGATAATATAACATTGATATAAATTGAATTACGCGATTGGGTTTATAAATTGCCAATATAAACTATTTCATCGTTCGATCATAGGTATAATTATTGAGCATGCTATACTTACTTTAGATTGTTCAATATCATCTTTGGCCACTAAGAAGTTCTCGCTAGCCGCCAACCTCGAAGAATTCTTATACGACTCGTCCAGTTCATCTTTTTTCCATCGCAACAATAACCGATTAACAACCTCTTCTTTTTCGCTAAGATTTCCTCCACCATTTACCATAAAAATCCGTTTTTCCTCGTTTATCAGTCTGCTTCGTTCGTCGACGTACGTATCCGCTCCGGCGATTCTTCCCATAGCGACAATCAAAATGAATAAATTGAATATACGAAAAGGCAGGTAATTCAGGTTGTTCCTTTCACCGCCTATATCTCCACTGGTCGTCTCAGGCATATCTGCGTTTCTTTTTATCGTGAGGATTTTATCGGTAATCTCTATCTACGGGGCCACTTTACGAAACTGGCGCACGGACAGTTATCGATCTTTTTATATTGGATGTTGGGGGTCCGGTGGTTCCCCGGAATATGGATGTTTTCTGTGACAATGAACTTGATACACGTAGTGTCACCAGATGTTTATCGTTCCCAGAGTTGTGGTTCCTTTGAAGCTAGTTTTTGGCTATTGTCCTTTTTGACCTATGTAGATAAACAGATTTTTTGAATTTATATACGAAAGGTAGAGATCTACAATATTTTATTATCAATTAAAATATTTCAATACTATTGTTATCAACCGTCCTCTATTTCAGAGGACATTCCTGTTTAAGATCGTACCAATGACATATTCAGATGTCACTGATGGTTCGTTGATTGTTCGTTGATTGATTTCTTATCTTTTCTCTCACGTATTGAAAAAGTCTTCTTTTTTACACTCCAAACAAACAATCTAAAAAATATTTGTCCATCGCCACAATGTTTAATAAGATTGTTAATTTTAAAAGAAATATTTAGGTACAAGAAATAGCTGTGTATGCGATAAACATGATTAGTTTTTTTATGTTTACTTGCTGTTTGCTTATATTTTGAAATAAAAAGTTTTGTAGTAAATCGTTTATTTTATTTTACCGGTTTTGGGTATAAATATTTCTAGAAAGTAGGATAGACCATCAACCGCATAACGTTTACGGAACTATTGGGTACATTCTTGACATTTTGAGGTTTCAAAAAATATTTCGACTGTTGCGCTTTTTAACCCTCTCATCCTCAAGGAAGATTCTGAATACGATTTTTAGAGGAAAGAAGATAAACAACCTTTAGACCAGAAGAACAAACAAAGAAATAAAGCAACTATATGGTGTACCGAGTATAACGGGAGTAACAAACGCACAAAAACTAAGATTGCTGGGACATATTAAAATAATTGGTGAAACAAGAGTGAGGACCCAAGTAGCATTTTCACGACTTGCGACCACATGTTTACTAAACACAACGTTGGATTAGTTACAAAAAATAGTTAGCTCCCTACCTTGGGTATTAAAATAAATTTAAACGTTTTTATAACGTTGTGCCGACGTTGGACTAGTACTGTGCTAGTACTACAGCAAAGTAGGAAGCTTCTGCGACGTCGAATAAACGTTGTCTTCTAACCTTTTTTGCTTAAGTGATCTTTAGGTGATTCGGACAACGTAGTTACAAAGTTGGACAATATATAGTTTTTCGACGTCAGTTTCAGGACCTATTCCAACGTTATGCAAACGTCGTCTGTTTTACTAATTCCAACGTTGTTTAGATTTCCTTATTCTTACGTTGGTAGGACGTCGAGTCACTACCTTTTGGCAACTGTATTGAACCATAACCTTAAATCTTAAATTTTCACTTCATTGTTCTGTTCAGTCAGACAGTTCAGTGCTGTTTTTGTTTTTATAAAAAAAACTTATTTAAAATGGGACATAAGAAAGGTACATATAAAACTAAATTTAAATATACATCGGCATATATTACCGATAGTTTATCCACTCCCTCGTTTATTTAGATTATAGAGGGCGGCACAAGCTAGACTCTAGGATGACTAAATTAGGCAATCTTGCGACTAGTATACTACCTGTTAAGGCTGAACTGCGACTTTATTAGTCCAGTATGCGACTACTCGAACTACTCCATCTTAATCTCCCAAAACAACAAAGTGAAAGCCGCCATGTTGTTAAATAAGAAAATGTTTCGTTCCTAAAATAGCAATTCCTGCTTTTTGAATACATTAACTTGAAATATTTGATCCTAAAAAACACGCGGAAACAATTTTTTCGACTGCGAATAAATTATTCTCATTTTACTAAAAAAAAAATCAAGATAATTTTTAAAACTTCTATAATTTTAAGGCCCATTAGTATTTTTCAAAGTAGAAACAATACATTTATCAATAAAGTTGTTTGCGTTTAACTTTTTTGTCTTGGGTAACGAGTTACAGAGTCGGTTAAAGTGTTTCAATAATTATAAACATCCTCCACACTTAAATACTTTTGTTTTGTTTTCCTTCACTGCCATCTGACATAAATCTCTAACTAAATCATAAAAATAATATTTTTACTATAATTATACCAATTTAGGATAAAACGCGACTTAGACGCCATATTAGTTTTGTATTTCTGTGAATTAGGATTTTAAACAACGTTGCAGTTTGTACTAAATTAGGCTTCTAGCCAACGTCGGTATCCAACGTCGTTTCGACCCAAAAATTATTCTCCAAACTAGTGCAGACTAGGGTTGGCACGAGGTTGTGCCGACGTAGCGCCCCGACGTTTGGTCGCGTGACACAACGTTGTCCCGACGTCCAAATGCTGCTTGGGGAAATGACTACAACTTTTTGATTTTTAAATCGCACCCTCGGTATTTTTTTTTTCCTTTATTCCATAGAAAATGACACTCTGAATAGAATGACATATCATAAGTCAATATTTGACATCCTCACTTAAAAAATCATATCTCTATTTTTTTAAATGGAACAAGATGGCTCATTAGCATATTTGGAAAAAGCATATTCATACGAATAATTTGGTATCACACACTTGGTATTTCGAGTTAAATTGTCGTTATGAACCGCATGTCACAATTTCAAATAAACCATTATGCGAAAATGTCAAAAGTTGCCATATTATGATATGTCATTCTATTCAGAGTGTCATTTTCTATCAAACAAAGTAAAAAAATACCGATAGGGTGTCATTTAAAAATCACAAGTTGTAGTTATTTCCGGTGAAACAGGAAGTGACCGAAAACAATTGAATACGTCAATCAATCCTAATTTATGTCATATACTAACATACCAAATCTCGTTTTTATCTGAAAAAATAAAAACGTTATAGGGGTGAGCCACTTTTGAGACGCACCCGGTAAATATCAAGAAACTTAATAGAACCTTTTTGTTTAATATATTTAAACAAGGGTAGAACAACGCAGTTTTCAATATGGCTGACTTCACTTCCGTTTTATCAGTGCATTGTGTTCCATTTTTATGTTAAAATGCACTAATAGGTACCGTATGATCGAATAAACACGGCGTCAGCGATGGCTATGAAATGAAGATCGCTGTCATTTCATATGTAAATTTATATGGGAAATGTCATCGATCGTCATTTCCAAGCCAACTGGACGCCATTTTTATTCGATCATAACGGTACTTTGTTTCAAAATATATTTAGTATATTTATCAATTTCAGATTATAATATATTTCAAATGTGGACAAATTTTATGAAACTATTTCACAATAATACAAAATTTCTAAAATTATTATACTAGGTATCTAAGGTTTAAAAAAATTAAAACATGTTTAGACTTACCTTAAAATTCACGAATTTATATCACTTGACGCAATCTTTTATTACACTCATTCGAATTCAATTTTGCGAATAATCGAAAATCGTCATTGTAATTTATCTTTATTTATAAATAAAATGATTAATTTAAAATTGGGAAAAATAAGCTGGCGTCATAATTTCTACAGCGTTTAAAGTAATCTGTTATACGGCTCAATGGTCTAGGGGTATGATTCTCGCTTTGGGTGCGAGAGGTCCCGGGTTCAAATCCCGGTTGAGCCCAAACTTTTTTATTAATTTGAATTAAAATTTAAAACAGTTTGCATGTTTGCAACAAAGAAAACGTCATATTTTAATTAAAAAAATAAGTTTTATTGTTTTATTCATGTATTTATTTATTTTAAAGTTATTTTAGTGAACGCAACGGTATGATTTACTTTGAAGACCACAAATTTAAAATTATTTTAATGACAATATGGTGAAGGAAAACTTTGCAAAATATTTTTCTGGTAGAAATCAGGTACATATATTCACAGATTAAATTAATATTAGGTATTTTTTCATAAAAAAAATTGATAACTAATGTGTAATCAATAAATTTAAAAAGAATCAGAAAGAAATAGTTTTTTTTAAATACCAAGTTTTTTTGGCGTAGTACTTTTTTTAATTTTGTTTCTTCTAACGATTCCAATTTTATGGACTTTTTTGGAAAGCTATGATTAATTTTGAAATAAAATATTTTTAGCACATATTTGACGTTCATAACTCTGTTGAATAATTTTAATTATTTGAAAATTTAAGGCCAGTAGTTATTTTTTGTAAATTTATAAGAGAATTATTGCAAAGAGTCCCTCGCGACTGCCCTGATACTGGTTTTTAATTTTAAGTCTAAATTACTTATGGAAAAAATATATTTTTTTTTGGTTCTCACTATACAGGGTGAGTCTTAAATATGTGCAAATATTTTAGAGGTAATATATTTCGACCCCAGAAACACGTCTTTCAGTTTTTTTCTTAAAAAATTGGAATTTTTTGAAAAAATTTTGGAAATCATCTTTTTAATTTTTAGTAATATAGCAACATAGGTAGTAGATTAAATTTACAAGAAAGAAGACCCAGAAAAGATACGGTGGTTCTCAAAATTTATGCGAAAAATCAAGTTTTTTCAAATTTTGAAAGTAAAATACCTCAGTTATTCTCGACTTATTTGAAAAACGATAAAGAGAAAATATGTTTTTTTTATCGAGATCTACCAGCCCTGAAAATGTTGGCACTTATTTAAGACTCACCCTGTATAAGCAAATAAACTTTGTAGGAAACGCCATATCAAAAAAAAAATAGTTGAAAAATAATTTTTAAAAATATGCAATTTGATTTTTTTGAACTTATTCTGTATACGATAATATGACATATTTTATAGTTTATAAATGTTGGATAATAATTTCAAACTCCTCATATATCCAGTAACAAAAAATATCATATATCCGCCAATTAACAGCACTGATCAAGAAATGTACGGCCTTCAATTGATGACGTCACCAGATTTTTATGTCACAGCCCTTCGGCCTTCAATTTAACTTACAGTGATGCCGATAAAACACGTACTCTTGGCCGGCCCTTGTACCGAATAGGCTGTGGCGCAAGCTTACATATACAGAGTGATCTAATTTTTTTAACTTGATCTTTAATTTTTTAATCTCTATCAAAAATTCTTTCCAATTTTGTCTATCCCACCTTGAGAAAAACAATAGCACCAATAAATGGTAAATAATTTAAGTCCAAGCCACAAGTATTTGTTTAGTAAATAAACAATTTCTCAGTATTTTACACACAAATATAATAAATCGTATTAAGAAAAGTTTATAAAACAATTATTAATTTTCAGAAACTAATTGCATTACATACCAATTAAACATAAAATTTTCCTGTACGGAATAAAATTAATAACAAAAACAAATTATTATTAAATAAATAAACCATTTAAATACGGACTTTTTATATTGTAAAACTGTATATAAAATAACATAATATAATAATGTTATTTAACTTTTAGATTAACAAATGGCACTAATTAATAAACAAATAACTGCGAAACTTTTCATAATTAGCCGCTTCTAGCATTAGCAAATAATAGCAATCATTTCGCAAATTACATTTTCGTATTTTGTAATCAGTACAATATACAGGGTGGTCCGAATCGTATTCGGAAAACTTTGGCAGCAAATTCTGCAGATAAAAATAAGTAAAAAAGTGCGTATAAATGTATGTCTTAAAATGCTTCGTTTTGGAGATATAGGGTGTCGGGTGTAGAAGTTTCATTTTTATTTCCAAATAATTCCTGAATCAACGTCGATATTTGGATGAAAATTAATGTCCGGCAGTTTTTTGACATTGGAAATTTTATTTCGATGTCAATATGACTCCTACTTATAAGGGGCGCCATCTACATATTTTTTAACTGGCTTGAATAGTATAACCTATACAGGGTGGTCCGAATTGTATTCCGGAAACTTCGGCAGCATATTCTGCAGTTAAAAATAAGTAAAAAAGTTGGTATAAATGTATGTTCTAAAATGCTTAGTTTCGGAGATACAGCGTGTAGAAATTTCATTTTTATTTCAATTTTTTCCAAATAATTTATGAAGTAACGTCAATATTTGGATGAGAATTGGTGACTGGGAGTTTTTTGACATGAGAAATTTGATTTTGATGTCAATATGACTGCTACTTGTAGAGGGCGCCACTTACATATTTATTAACTGGTTTAACTGCAACCTGTATAAAACTACTGAGTAAAAAATATGCATGTACGAAATTTTTTTACGAGTTTTTTGATATGAGAAATTTGATTTTGATCGTACTTGTAGAGGGCGCCACCTTAACTGGTTTGAAGAGTAATAACTTTTCGTCCGTATCTGTATTAAACTATTAAGTAAAAAAATATACATTTACGACGTTTTTTACGTAAAAAAGGTCTCTTGGTACAAATTGCTACGGGTAATAGTTCTCGAGATATTTGGAATCGAAATTATCAATATCTATCATCATTGACATAAATTAAACATATTGACGAAATAGTTATTAGACTGCAATCAGAATCTGATAATCATTTTCCGCAGAAAAATTTATGATTAATTCAAACAAAATCCCAAATTTATTATTTCGGTCGCAAGTAACTATCTACTCAACGTAATGGGATCTATGTATGATATCTACTCAAATAGGTATGGGATTGATATATCGTCCCATTGCTGCCAAAAGTCACTAACTTACTTTTTGTTACTTCCGAGAAAAACGCGTCTAAAGATGAATTGCATTGCATAAAAATGTTATATAGTTAGTAACTATTTGGTACTAAAATACAACATAAATAGCCAGAAATCGTAGTTAATGGCTTTTTCAATCGATTCTCCGCTTCAAAATACAGTTAGTGATTGAATTTTCAGGTTCGGAAAAATGTTAGTTAGTGACTTTTGGCAGCAATAGGACGATATAAATCAAATTTCTAACATTAAAAAATACCCAGACATGAAACTTCTCCACCCTGTATCTCCAAAAGAACTCCCCCCCCCCCCTCATTTTAGGACATACATTTTTTATCTGCAAAATATGCTGCCGAAATTTCCCGAATACAATTCGGACCACCCTGTATAACGGAATATCATGAAAATCAATTTCAATTTCACAAGTTAATTCAATGCTGATATCTGAAATGAAGTCATTAGCACAGTCCAGTTAATGGTTTGTTTAGAGATGACACTGTATATTAAATTTGATTAGGGTAATAACTTTGATCTTTAACCTAATAAATGTCCTGTGTTTATAAACAAACATTTAATTGCTTACTTTTTCTAACATAGACTCTCTTGACATCTATGTGCGCTGTACAGGGTCTCCCAAATTCAAGCCTCATCATTGGGGTGATCTCGGAAACGAGAGGATGACGAAGACTTTCCAATGAAGGCAAAGTTGTGCCATTTGATACTGATCAAAATGGCATTGTAAAAGCTTAAAAATTCGGAATAATACTTACGAAGATTTTTGAAAAAAAAAACGAATATTCGCAATTCGCAAGTTGATTTATATTTTTTTATGACTCTGCGGATAAAGTAAAAACTATCTAGTCTGGTCCTTGAATTGTCTGCAGCTGTAATTTCAAGAATTTTTTTGTATAATATATAGAAAAAATATATTACAATAATAATTAAAGCAATGTATATGTTCAATTCAAAAGAGTATTTGTAGACGCACCAAATATTAACAGGAATATACAATTACCTCACTTTTACGTCAATAGTATTAGCCTTGTTTTTCATATACAAGGGTATTAGCAATATTCCATGTGACCGTAAATGTGTACGCAATTATAGAAGGCAATATTTATGTTTGATGTATTCCATCAAAATTAATTGATATTAAAAGATTAAGCTTCTTAATTCTTGTCATTAATTATTATTCACTAACTTATATATAATAACACGATATTTTTGGTTAATCTTTAACAATAAAAATCACACTAATTAGTAAATACTTACTTGCGTAAGAACTTACGTATTAATTCCTCTAATCTGTAGTAGATATATTTAATCCGTACGTGCAGCCAAGAAGATCTAATCAAAAAACGTGCATGTGTGGTGTTGTCATTGACAGTTAGATAGGCTATAAAATATGAGGTATATAGTTTATGCCCCAACAAATGACAAACCAGATCAAGAAATCGAAGAATTCTATAACAAAATAGATGAAGTAATGCGGCTCACAAAGAAGGGAGAGATAACGATGATAATTGGAGACTTCAATGCCAAAGTTGGCCGTGGTGTTGAGGGGGATAGCATAGGGGCATACGGTCTGGGCGAAAGGAACGGTAGGGGAGATAGACTGTGACCACCTGGAGGTCACCTGCAGATAGGGAGAAAAAAATTGTCAGGAATCAGATTGATTTCATTTTGCTCGGCCTAAGCTTCAAAAGGTATATGAAGTCAACAAGAACCTACCCTGGAGCAGACATCGGCAGTGACCACAACCCTGTCGTGCTGGACTTTAGGTTTAGTTAAAAGAGAAAAAACGGCAAAGAAAATAGACATCGCACTATTGAACAACCATGAGAAAAAGAAAG